AAAAAAAATTATAATTATAATTTTCATGTAAAAAAAATTATAATTATAATTTTCATGTAAAAAAAATTATAATTATAATTTTCATGTAAAAAAAATATAATTATAATTTTCATGTAAAAAAAATTATAATTATAATTTTCATGTCAATTTTCAATTAAACTCGTTTGATACTTCCTCAATCTCAATAAAATAAAAAAATAATGGATCCCAATTTTTTTTTCCATTAATAGCTCAGACAATTCAAAATCCAGAAGAATTTCTTAAAAATTTTCCCAACACCAAAGACTATTTATATATTTATTTATATTTATATATTTATGGAAGACGAAAATTGTCAACTGTCAAGTCCAACGGAACATTATACCCACGAATAAAATAATTCATAAGCTCTTCGAGACTCGAGGACGTGGGACTTTAAAAAAATGAAATGTGTCCATCACTGATCCACCAATCCAAACTTCATAAATCATCCCCATTAAACCTCAAAAAAAAAAAAAATCTAGGCATCTCGTGTTCGGTCCCAAGTCCTTGAAGTCATTCCGTTTGATGTTGTGACAACGTAGTCCCCCAAATTACCAGCCGCGATTTGAATCCGTTTTAATAACTCGAAGATAAATGCACCCGTACCGCATTCATCGGGCGTTACATTATTTCTTATCCTCGAAGTAAAAAAAAAAAAAACGGCGGGGGTTAAAACGCTCTCGGTCATTAGCAAAGAATGCTTCTTATCCCCCAGCCTGGCTGTTAGGTACATAAGCTTTTGCAACGTATGAATGCCCGTGACTGTGAAGCGGGGCATATATCCTTTTGGTCTCGATAATAATCAATGGCTTGAAGAAGCCGAGGCCGGAGCTCTATTCGCGCCCAGTGACCCCGGTATCTCCCTCTCGGAGGCCCTCCTCCCAACAAAAGCCTCATTCTGTCATTATTACTCTGCATGGAAGAGGAGAAGGGAGATGTGGGATACCCGTCAGCACACAAGACGCTGAGAAATAATCCAAGGGCTTATTTCTTACGTCAAGGCGTTATGGAAAACAGCCTTCTGTTCATACTGAATATCACTTTGTATCCAGATTATTCCTTTTATCATTTCTTTTCTCGCTCATTTTTATTTTATTTCTTGTGCTACAGAATGAGCGACGCTGAGAGCTACTATCACACTCTTTGTATCAAACCCACTAATCGGAAGCAATTTCATACCCAGAGGAGAAGCAGAAACAGATTTATGAGTGGTATATGTTCTTGGAAATGAGAACAAAGTTTCTTTGATGATGAATTTTTACGCAAAATCATTCAACGGCTACACAAGACATCCTCATTGTTCTAATTTAGAGACAAATATTTATATTCACAAGCTCGAATCACCTAGTCCACATCAAAAATTGAACATTATCCAGAAAAAATGTTAGCCCAACGTCACGGATATCGCCATCATCACCAAGGTGTATTTACTTTTTGGCCGGTTACAAATGTAAGAAAATTGTTGGCTAGAGCCCGGCAAATGGACGTGGCAATGATTTTATAACGGCATACCCCAACTTATCAAAGGTGCCAACACGCTAACAGACATTTCACAGAAATCCAACAAAAGCCCACTGGTATTTTTAATGCATCACCACCGAGACAATGAAGACAAAGAGACATAAATAACGGGTCTCACATTTGGGGGATTATCGCTATCACCATTGGAGTTATGCGCCTATCGTCTGCACCAGATATCCCGAAAAATACCAGCTACCTTATCGCCCTTTTTCCCCTGCCAGCAGAATGCCTGATAACAACCAACCAGAGAGACAATACCAGCGATACAAAACAACATGTGCTAAGGACTGTGACAGACAGCTGAACTGACCTATGGGTATTGTGATTTGGTGTTGATGACAGTGGCGGTGTCCGCCTGTCATCCTGAAGTGACAGTGCACCGCTGTTGACCTTGCAGGTGAGCCTCTTGAGAATGTCGTCCATAGATCGCTTGCTAGCTGCTGCTGTCGCTGAACTGTTGTTGCTCGTATTGTTGTTGTGGGTTACAGTATTGTTATTGTTGTGCAACGAGTGATGATGGGTGTAGTACTGATCGCTGTGAAGAACAGGTGGTGATCCGCACTCGGATGAACCAGCAGCCTCTTGTGACAGAATACTTGCGTTCTGATTGTACTGCTGGTAGGATGAATTTGGATCCTGATTATTGGTGTATGGTAGCCTCTGACGCTTGTTTGGGGGTGAATTTGGTGATGACGATGGTGAATCCTGGTAGTCGTGATCACTTGTACCTGGTGATGAGCATACGGATGACTCACAGTCAACGCGTTGATGATAATCAGATTCCAGACGATCAGCTGTCTCGTCTCTTCGGCAGTCTGGATTTATCGTTGTGATTAATTCACCAGCCACCGATGTGGTGGTGTCCTCCTCCTCCTCGGCACCCGCCACTGTTCCCACACCGCCCCCGCCCTCCGATAGCTTCGTTGGTGGCGACTTCCTCTTTGAGGACATCCTTAGTCTGCAACACAAGTGCAACCATAGCTCAGTTTTTGCCTTTTTCCGGTTTTTTTTTTGGTGGGGGTGGATTTCGGGTGGAGGGGGAGACTTGGAGGAGGACTCGGCTTTTCTTGTTTTCATTCATTCATTATTTATTGTCGCACATTATGTTGTACAAAAATCGAATGCCAAAATTATCGAGCAAATAGAGAAGATACAGCTGGTGCAATGGTCAAATACAAAAGGATCGATTAATGGAAAAGCAGGAAGAGAAGGTCAAGGGCCGGAGGACAGGCAAGGGAGGTAAAATCGAGGTAAGAAATCGAGGTAAAAGATTGAAGAAGAGTAAAATCAAATTGATCATACTGAAATGTCATATTTTCATATTCAATTGCATAATTTGTCTCTGTCTTTCTCTACCAGAAGATGATCGATTCGGATGGGACGCTTTGAACTGCTTGACCCAATCTGCTAGAGGAAATTGGGCGTTTGGCAAAAATCTTCCTGAAGTTCTGGACCTTGGGTCACTCCTCAAATGGGGTACGTGCAATATGTCTGAAGTGGATGGAGATGGGGAGATGATTTGGTCTTGCGGGACGCGGTGGCGTAATTTCCGGGCAGAGATTACTGTTTCTTAATCATGCTATTAGTACGGAGTGTCAGGAAGGTTGGAATATGTTTCGAGTGGGAAAGGGTCATCCGGAGAAAGGGGTGAGGGAGGTCACCTGAAGATGTTGGAGATCGTGGGGCAGAGTTTCGGTTTTTTCGGGACACAGGAAAAATTTCAGTCAAAAAATATAGTTCAAGAAAATGAACCGAATTCTTATAATCCGAAAAAATTCAAAGTACATGTGAAACACGTGTTTTATAGATTTTTTAAATTTATATTGCAGTCATTGCTCGATTTTTGGCTGATTTAAAAGTAGAAGAGATTGAGAGAGCCCGAGTCAATTTTTTTTAGAAATTTCCTAGAAATAGTGTTTTTTCTAGCGAATGTTGAGATCGGCCGATTTGTTTTCGTGTTGCTTGGTTTTACAATGGGACAGTCTTATTTTGAGACATCGAATAGAAAATGGCTCAGTGATTTATGCAATTAAGGATTTTTTATTCATAAATTTCGGAGACCTTGGGGTGTGAATTTTTTAATATTTTGGGGCCTGAATCATGCGGCGTGGGGTCGAGTGTCTTAATTTGAGACGGTATTTTTTTGTTGATTGAAAAATTGAGGTTTTAGGGGATTCTAGTTTAAAAATAAACGACAGAAATATTTGATTCTTGGAAATTTATTCAATTGAAAGCTTAAGTGTCTTAAAATCGGACAATTGGTCTGTCTCAAAAAATAAGACGTCTCCAATATTTGTTGAAATTCTAAATTAAATCTCTAGCCATAATATTTCCAAAGATTAATGTCCTAAATCCGTCTTAATTTAGGACGTCAGTCAAAACTACCAAAAATTTCAAATGTCCCAAAATTCAATAATCGGTCCATCCCAAAAAATAATACACTCGCCGTCCTAAATTAAAGCTCGAGCTCTAATATTCCTAAAGATCAATGTCCTAAACCCGTCTCAATTTAATACGTCAGCCAAAAAGCTCTAAAATCTCAAATGTCCCAAAATCCAATAATCGGTCCATCCCAAAAAATACTACATTTGCCGCCCTAAATTAAAGCTCGAACTCTAATATTCCTAATGATCAATGTCCTAAACCCGTCTCAATTTAATACGCCAGCCAAAAAGCTCTAAAATCTCAAATGTCCCAAAATCCAATAATCAGTCCATCCCAAAAAATAATACACTCGCCGTCCTAAATTAAAGCTAAAGCTGTAATATTCCTAAAGATCAATGTCCTAAACCCGTCTCAATTTAATACGTCAGCCAAAAAGCTCTAAAATCTCAAATGTCCCAAAATCTAATAATCGGTCCATCCTAAAAAATAATACATCTGCCGTCCTAAATTAAAGCTCGAGCTCTAATACTCCTAAAGATTAATGTCCGAAACCCGTCTCAATTTAATACATCATCCAAAAATCTCTAAAATCTCAAATGTCCCAAAATCCGCAAATCGATCTGTCTCAAAAAACAAGACATCTCAAATATTTGTCGACGTCCTAAATGAAACCGCTAGTTACCAGAAAACATGAACCAATTCCTCACAATCTTAAAATATCTTCAAAATAAATATATGCAACACGTGTTACATATATTTTTCAATTGCACATATAAATACTCTATTTACCCTTCAATATTTTATAGACTAAGAATCAGAAGGGCTTGCGAATGCCACGATGGATTTTTCCTAGGCGTAAAAAATGGATTTTTTCGAGCGAATGCTGCGATTAACCGATTTGTTTCAAAATAAAATAACTGAGTTACATAAGAAAAGGCGCAGTAACCCGCGTTATCAATCACTCGGATGCTTGATTGTTGTAAATTTCGTAATGATGATCATCTGAGTGAGTATAAGTGAAGAGGAATGGAGAAAGAAAGGGATATGCGGGGTCGAGACGTACAATTATTATCACTCGATTTCACGTATTACGCGTATTTCTATGTGCCATTATCTACTTATCAGTACACGCTGGGTCGACGAGGGGTCGCATCCATTCCGTCTTCGGTTTTGTTTCTGAATAACGGATTATAAATTTTTATTTTCCTCTATCACGGCTTTATCACAATGAGAATTATTAATCGATAATTCAACACATGTGTGGAGCGCGTGTACTAGAATTTGCATCTTGAATTTTCCTCGTTCGTTTTCACTAATTTCTCGTCGATTGAGACAATGCTACACGGAAAAAATATGGGAAACGGTTAAATTGGTTGAGGAATAATTTCCGCGTCTAGTAGGAAAATGTCTTGGTTTCCGCGATGAGCTGATTTCATTATGTTTTATTCATACAATGAATTTTTTTTTTTGCCGAAAGAACAAGAGAAATTCTCGACGTATCTACAATTGTTGGATTTCCTTAATTGCTCGAGCTCGCCTCAGTGAATGAGAGTGAAGAAATATCTCATTATTTTTACTGATTGGGAGTGAACTTCAGACACTGGTAATTGTAAATTTTATTAACCCCCGGAGTCTCGTAATTCATATGCTAATTACGTGATATCTAAGTGCTCTTACAATGTATCGCTGGTGATATCGAAGAGACGCCAGGGATTCAGGGAGATCGGAGAATTGTCTGTGCAGTTGTTAATTGAAATTTAACCGGATATTGAAATCATCCGGTAAAAATTCTTCGTTGACACAGATTAAAATATTTACGAGAAATAACGAAGCGCTTGACGTAGCCCGAGAGAAGGAATTCTTTTCTGATTGTTTTTTAGGATTGGAAAATAAATGTGTTTTTTTTTTCATTTGGGTATGCCATACCTCAAACGCTGGTTCAGTAAAAATGACGGAATAATTGACATCATGGGAAATATAAAAAAAAAAATATATAAATATAAATAATTGATATATAAATTGATGTATTGATATATTTATATAAATATAAAGAATTGATCGATTTTGGGGTTCACGACAAAAATTACGAAATTCTCCGGTAATTTTACCAACGGGTGATAATTTTCCGTAAAATTTCCCATTGCGAATTACGCGAATTGTAATATTGGGTGAATATTTTGATTTGTGCGGGGGTTATCGTGGAAATTTGACCGGATATGGAGATTATCCGGAAGATTTTAGTCGAATGGAAGTGAAACTCAGTGACAGGCGTATTTACAGGGTGGGATATTATTTTTAAGAGACTTCCAGATGCTGTGGCTGTCTGTAACTCGAGTGTATTAAGGGAAAGAAAAACATTTGGGTGAACAAAGAGGAAATTCACGGCTGCCACAAATAGGTCGGGGCTTGACTATTGGGAGACACTGACTCCATTTGACTTATGAAGTTCTCTCCATTCATTTTCTTCAGTGGAATGTTTTCGAGTTAATTGCCTGTCTCGTTATAATAATGTTAGTTCAATTTAGTTACGAGATGATTGTTAGCGGTTGTTGTATTAAAAATATTTACTAATTCAAATCGATTTGAGGGATTGACAGATATGCTCTGGAAATGGATCATCTCATGGATTGAGATGTGAGGTAGAAAACTCAGATCGGTGAAGTTGGAGTCCCTCGACTTGAATCAAGTTGATAATCGACTAGACTCAAGCCGACGTCGACTTTGAAACAGTATTTTTGGGGTGTAGCGTCTTGAATTAAGACACTTCTGGCTACAATTCGACAATATCGTTGTATCCGAATTGAAGTAATTTATGGTGTTCTAAATTAAGATACTCGAGAATGGCGGTCAAGTCTTAGGGTGGTGCGATCACTGGTGCAATGATCATCATCAAGTGTCTCTAATTCAGCTGATCTAGCAGGTGGTGGAAATGGGGTGAATCTCGCTATCTGGGGCTCATCTAGCCGATCTAGCTTCACCCTAGAAACAATATCGTTTCTAACCTCATAACATATGCCAACGGTGATTGACTATTGCCGAGACACTGACCCGATTCAACTTATAACCCATCATTCCCCACAGATTAATATCTCTCAACCTCTTCCCACCGAGATATTCGATAAATCCTCGGCTAATGTGTTTTAGACGCATCTCGATTAGCCTCTCAACCACTGAATTCCCTCCATCACTCTCTCCACCTTCATGCACCCATTAATTATCTGTCCCGTCTCATTACACAAATTTTACTGATATTATTGAATTTTCACCAGGTCAGTGAGAGAATAAATCCTCTTCGTGGACTATTCCCACAAATAATCGGCATTTTGTAACATTAGGACGCGTACACAGCGAATACGATAAAGTTACGCTTCTCTCCTCCACCCCCGTCTGGACTAGTAATCTCCATTCATTCGGTGTTGGCTTATTCATTGACGAGACCGAGAACAACGGCGTTTTGTTGAGAAATCCCCCTTCTCATATCTCTCTCACAGCAAAACGCTTCTCTCTGTCAGATCAGCGGAGCAGTTGAGGGGAAAAAAAACTCAAATCAAACACCAAAAAAAGGGGGCAAAA